GATCGCAGCCAATCGGCACCGGCAGGAGTGACACAACGACATGGTGGGGGGGACGACCAGGAAGTGAGAGCAGCTGGGTGACCTCAGGGTTGGTCCCAGCTCCTCCACAAAACTCAGAGCAGAGTCCAAGACCACATCCCAACAGTGTGGGCGCCCCGAGGCCCCTCACTGGGACACACCCGACCTGGGCGCTGCCTCCAGCCTCGCGACTCCCACCGACCCGCTGAGCATGCTGTCACCAAGGAGCCCACGAGGACGGCCTCCATCTGGCACCAGGACAGCTCAACCCGTTCAGCCCAAGCGGGGCCGGCTCCTCAGGTCCCCACGTTCTGGCGGCATGTTGTTTGCCAGAAACCCATTCGCCTGTCCCGGGGGACATGCCCAGGGGCCATCACCTTGTGGAACTCGCGCAGGAAGGAGCGCTCGTACTCGCCCCGGCAGCGGTCCTCCATCCTCTCCCGGGTCACCTGGTGCAGCGTGACGGTCACGGCCTCGGCGCTGACCCGCTCCAGCAGACTGAGCCTGTGCCTGGAGGAGAGCCGAGCCTGCGGAGCGTGCAGAGCACACGCACGCACACGCCCCACCCCAGCGCACACGTCCCCACGACCCTCCTGGCAGGGATGCCGCCATTGTGCCCGGGGATGCTGGGAGGACAGAGCAGCGGCTCCCCACCCTCCCCAGCTGGCCTCGCTGCCTGGGCTGGGACACTGGCCGTCCCGTGCCAACAGCACGTGTGGCTCTCAGGGTCAAACCTCATCTCCCAGAAACGGCCCCCACGGCCACGTACATACAGATGCCACTGACGGTGGCCTTCAGCCCAAAGCCCGTCTGTGATGGCAAAGGGACCCATGAGGAGATGAGAAGGACTCATCTGTGCGACGTCACCTGGGACGGACCCCTCAGGGCCCCCCCACCTGCCGGCACAGGGCACTCCCCAGGTCCAGCTACAGACTCTGCCTCTCGGCCACCCTGCCGCCAACTCGTTCAACAGGACGGAATCGTCCCGAGTGGCCACAGAGGCTGCAGGGCCACACACCCGACCCGGCTCCAACAGCACAGCCTTTCCTCTTCAAAGGACTGGAGAGGCACCTGCGTGGCCAAGTGCCGCCTCACCTCCAACGTGTGCCACAGACAAAAGCAGCAAGTCACCCTCTCGCAGCCACAGGGCAGGACGCACATCTCCCTCCCCTGGAGCCACACGAGGCAGAGCCGGACTCCGCAGGCACCTGGAGTCCTACAGACTCAACCAAGCAAAGCGTGGAGCCGGGCCAGTGGGAATGACCGAGTACGCCTGTGTCCAGGACAAAAGGTGTGACGTTCACAGCACAAGGACCCTGGCCACCTCCCTCGGCCATGGCCATGAGGACACATGGCAGACCCCGGCCAGCGGGACCCAGGGGAGCAAGCAGGAGTCGGGAACAACGGGGCACGAGTACTCACAGGACCTGGCTGAGCTGGTGGAACTGCTCCAGGGCCTGGCGGCACCAGCACTGCTGCTTCTCACTGCCGCACCCCGCGCACAGGGGGCTCTGCAGGAGCCGGTAGTACCGGCGGCGGGCATACCTGCTGTCCAAGTCCCCCTCCAGCTCAGGGTCCGTGCCCCCCTCTCCTTTCCGCTTACTCTGCATGTAGACCCTCAAGAAGCGCCCGTAGAGGCGCTGCACCATCTCCTGGAAGGTCCTGGGGGTGGAGAAGAACAGGACGCCCCGCAGCGTGGTGTGGACCTTGTCCCGCAGCCCCTGAGCGCCGGTGCCCATCAGCAGGCCGAGGCGGGTCCACTTCTCCAGCAGCTCCAGGCTGCGCAGGTAGGGGTCCAGGCGGCTCTCCAGCAGCGCGAACGCGTCCAGCAGCAGCAGCAGGCACTGCGGCTCGTCGGCGCAGCT